CTTTTCCTTCCATTATATACTATTAAGATAGAATATCCTTTTCCTTCCATTATATAAGATAGACTATCAAATATTATGTTCTTTGTAAAATAGAACTTTTTAAAAAAATTATAAAAGAACTTCTGTATTCTCCACGTTTTAGGTTGTGTTTGGTTCTAATGGAATTTTTTGCTTTTTTTTACTTTGTAAATCAGCTAAAATACATAGACTACTTAAGAAGAAAAAGTAATTAATTTAAAAAAAAATTTAACTAAAATACTTTTCATATGTTTTATTTTAGACTGGGTGGTGATAATATGTAGTTATTTTTCAGGACTTATTTAAGAATATATGCAAATAAAAATAAGAATATATTCAAACAGCCTGTAATCCCAGTGCTCAGGAGGCTGAGGCAGCAGGATCACGAGTTCAAAGCCAGCCATAACGAGGCACTAAGCAGCTCAGTGAGATCTTGTCTCTAAAAAAAAAAAAAACAGGGCTCGGGATGTGGCTCAGTGGTCCAGTGCCTTCATTCTTCAGTTACCCCCTTCCCCCCAAAAAAAGAAATATATTTAAACAAAATAGGATTATTTGTTAGCATTTTAGAGAGATTTTCTTGTTACTAGATGAGTTTGCAAGAGATCACTCTATAATGTTTTGTATCAAAAAGAAAAGATTTAGTTCTTTAGATAGCAAAAAGATACTGCTTATTGTGCATTATGTTTGAGAAAACTTTTAGGAAGATCTGAATTCTTATTTTCTTTCCATATTATCTTTTTAAAATGCAAATTATCAGAAAATAAAGTCAAGATTTAGAATAATTACTTGGAATTAAAAAAAATCTTTTGAAGAACAAACCAAGGATCTAGTTTGAGATGAAAAATTAAAAGGTAGTAATTTCTTTTTGAGACATTTGCTTTCTTGAATAAACTATGCATTTTCTTTTTATCTTTATAGACTTTGGTCTACAGTTAGTATCTATTTAGATTTACAACACTAAGTGTCAGCCATCTGGTTTGGAAAACAAGGTTGGCAGCGTCACATTTGCTTTTGATTCATTGCTAACATTATGTGGCACTCTTAAGAGTGCTAGTCATCCACAGAGGCAAGAAACACAAATGATTTTGCCTAGGCTTTATCTGCAGGCCTGTGTGTTCTGAGAAGAGAGGCCTCCATGAAAAAAGGCAGAATTTTTGGTGAGCCATCTTCTTGGAAGTAAAAGCAGAGGCAGGAGCCAGTGCGTTCAGCTTTCTGTCTCACAAAGGGAGATGCCATTGTAATATCATATAACCCTATGTTCAATTTTGTTGTCTTCTGTTTCTCTAGTAATTAGTAGCAGGTGCTTTAACAAAAAGAATTCCTATATACTTGTTTTTGGAGATCATAAGAAATGGGGAGGCTAATGAGAGATTCTAGTTAGTTCTGTAGCTAGTCTGAGGGAAAACAATTCCGAAACACAGAATAGCTGGAAGGAAAAGAAAGGCTGAATTCTTGTGTTTGTCAAAGGAAGGAAAAGACTCTGAGTAGCTGCCCTGGATCTGAGACTATTAGTGGGGCTACTTGAGACTGCTTGTGATGTGCATAGCACTGTGTTTTGTGTGGACTAGAAAAGAAATTAGATAGGGCCCCTGCTGTAAAGGAGCTTGCTCTCTTGTGGGGATAATATATAAGGAAACAATTCTACATAATGTTTAATAAAATCAGTGTTGTAAGAGTGAGAAAGGAGAGAGAGCTGTTGTTAGTTGTTCTAATGGAAATTTCATATTTGAGCTGAGCTTGTGAGGATGATAAAATGCATTTGAGAAGCAAAGACTTTTCTGGTTTTATTTTCCCCTCCCTCTCCTAGGCCATTACCAAATCATGCCAGTTTATTTGTAAGTGGAATAATGATTCTTTAGCCTGTTCTTATTGCACAATTTCAGGAGTTTTTAACACAGTCATCAAGAACCTGAAAAATTTGGCCTCTCTCATTTAACTAGAAACAGCAGTAGAAAATAGAAACAAAAGCAAAAACAAAACAAACAAACAAAACCCCACCAATATCCTAACATGTAAGGTTTTTTTTTTGTATTGCCAGGAATAGTCCTGAAGGCTGTACATATTAACACATTTCACACTCTCTACAACTTAAGGCCAGATAATGTTTCCAACGCTAAACAGCTATTTCAGGTGTAGAAGCAGGGGTTTAAACTCAGGCGCCTAGTAGGACTTCAAAGCCCAGGCCCAAGCATTGCACACTAATGAATTATAACCTGTCCCTCCCTCCCCTTACTGCTGTCTCTACCCATGAATCCAGACTTTTAACCTCCATTGGACTTTCCTGTATACCATTTTCATTCCAGAAAAAAAATCATTTTTTAGTTTCTAACTCCTGGTTATCCTTAGTTTGAATGTCAGCTTCTGAATGGGGTTGGGGGCAGGCCTTAACTGATAACTATCACTTTTATCATAGCCCCATTTTTTTTTTTTTTTTTTTTTGGTTAGCACCTGTCACAACTTGTGATATATTAGATACCCACATATAGTAGTAAATACATTTCAAAAAGTTCAGTTCTTATAAAAACTGGCATTATTGTGAATTTAATGAAATGACCCGAGTCATTCTGCGCAGAGAAGGAGGTCTCCTCTGTGTATTGGGGGTGGAATGGGGGTAGTAGGTTTCAGGATTCAGACTAAGTTCTCTCAGGTCTGTCCAAGTCTGACTGTGGTTTGGTGCCACCTGGTGGAAGTTATGTCCTCATGTGACTACTGTTTGAAGATGGTGTAGAAAATGGGAGCCAATTACAGTTGTCCCTTATTATCTGTAGTGGTTTGGTTTTAGTATCTAACCCTCCACCCCGCCCCATACCAGTTCTTAGATACTCAAGCCCCTTATATAAAATGACATAATATTTACATATAATCTATGCACATCCTCCTGTGTACTTTAAATTATCTCTGGATTACTTATAATACCTAATACAACATAAGTGCTCTATAAATAGGTTATCTTTTTTTAATGTTTATTTTAGTTATAGGTGAACATAATAAACTTTATTTTATTTTTATGTGGTGCTAAGGATCAAACTTAGTGCCTCATGGGTGCTAGACAAATGCTCTATTGCTGAGCCACAACCCCAGCCCCAGGTTATCTGTTGCTTAGGGAATAATAAGGAAGCAAAAAGTTTGTCTCTGTTCAGTACAAGTGCTCCTCCTCAATATTTTCAATTGGTGGTTGGTTGAACTGAGGATGTAGAACCCACTGATAAGGAAGGGCAACTATACCAGTTGCCTTATCTGAATTCATTAATTCATGAAGTTTTACCATGATATTTATACTTGTATTTATGTGCTTGATATTTACACACTGTGGTCCATAAAGTTAGAGACCATATCTGCTTTGTTGACTGGAATTCTCAGTCAGGAACCCAGTAGGTTTTCATCAAAGTATTTATTTGTTGAGTGAATGAGAAAGCATCATGGGCTAGAACAGAATGCCAGGAATTTTGTATTTAGAGACTGATGAGCAGTGCAATTTAACCAGCAGTGCTTTGTAGGAGAGGCAGGGTTGAGAGGTGAGCTGGACAGGTACAGTGGAATACAGATTGTGATGGCCCTTAAGGTAATGTGAATAGCAGAGGTGCTGTGTGAAACAAGATCTGGAGGTGACATGTGAAAAGAGAAAGATGTATTTTAAACACTCAGACTGTAGCAAGGGGCATACCTTCCAAAATACCAGGTTGAGAGGTTAGGAAACTACTAGGTTAGGGAATTAAACTTGGCCCAACTTCACAAGGCAACAAAGGAGAGGAAAAAAAATGATGGAAATAGAATTTATAAATCGAGATAGTTGAAATAAGTCCAAAGTATACCAGAAATTATATTAAAACCTTCAATGATGTTCTTAGAATGAATCTGTGATATTTATAACAGAGTCATAAAAGTAAATCAAATAAGTAGAAACAGATAACACATATTAGATAAAACTAAATTTAAAAAATGGATAAACATTTAGAAAAATACTAATCAAAGGAGCTAGAGAAATAAGATAGAATTTGGGGTGGATATCTTTAATCAGGTCAAAGAGTGTTTTCAAACTGGGAAAAAAGAATAGTCAGAAAGCATAATTATCATAAACATACATGTATTCAACACCATTTCAGAATTGCCAGGAGAAGCAGACATAATTACAAAATAGTAGGACTTGAACACATTTCAAAATTGAAAAGTCATTTAGACACAGAATTTAAAATGGCATCAAAGAATTGAGCCACAGGACTGGCAAACTTCATAAATTGAAGTAACATATAGAATATTGTACCTAAACTATAGAAGTAAGACCTCAGATATTTTAAAATTTATCCAAAGGCCAGTTTTTAACCATATGCTATGCTACAGGGAAATTTCAACAATGTTCAGAAAATAAGTATCATACAGAATATATTGTCTTGATGGTATAATAAAATTAGAAAACAATGAAAAGACAATCATAATACTTTATGATTTTGGGAACTAAAGCTCAGTTAACAGGTCAAAGAGGAAATGAAAATTATAAAATACTTAATAGCTACATAACAATGAAAGCATTGCATATTAAAACCTGGGCTTGGCATGGTTGTATGCTTCTGTATTCCAGCTACTCTGGAGGCTGAGGCAGGAGAATACAAGTTCAAAGCTAGCTTTAACAACTTAGCCAGGCCCTAAGCAAATCAGTGAGACCTGTCTCTAAATTAAAAAAGGGGCTGAGGGGGGGGGAAGGGGGGGCTGAGTGGTTAGGGTTTTGTCTCAGTGATAGAATGCTTGTGTGTGTGCACTGGGTTTGATCCTCAGCACCACATAAAAATAAATAAATAAAATAAAGCTATTTAAAAAGGTGCCGAGGGCTGGGGATGTGGCTCAAGCGGTAGTGCACTCACCTGGCATGTGTGTGGCCCGGGTTCAATCCTCAGCACCACATACAAACAAAGATGTTGTGTCTGCCGAAAACTAAAAAATAAATATTAAAAAAAAATTCTCTTAAAAAAATAAAATAAAAAGGTGCCGAGGATGTTGCTCAGTGGCTCATATACTATAATTGGAACAATACAGAGAAGATAAGCATGGCCCCTGTATATAAGGATGATCCATAATATGAAGTTGTCCATCTTAAAAAAAAATTGGAATGTGACTTAAGCAGAATTCACTGGGTAATAGAGTAGCTCTAAATGTATTTCTTAGAAAATAAGATTGATATAATGAGCATATATTCAAATCTTGATGTTAATAAATTAGTAAAGGACCAATATAACAAAGCCAAATAAAGTAGAAGAAAGGTAAAAATAAACATCAAAATTAATGAAATAGAAAGTAAAAATACAATAGATTTCGTTTTTTACAGTACTGGGGATTGAACCCCCAGGGATGCTCTACCACTGGGCTACATCTTCAGTCCACCCCTGCTCCCCACACCCCTCCACTCTCATTTGGTACTGAGGATTGAACCAGGGGCCACTAAGCTACATCCTATCCTTTATTTTAATCTTTTATTCATTCATTCATTCATTCATTTGTTTATTTATTTATTTATTTAGAGATAGAGTTTTGCTAAGTTGCTAAGGATCTAAGTCCTGCCTCAGACTCAAGAGTTTCTGGGATTGTAGGCATGAATCACCAAGTACAACTCCCCAGCCTTCTAAAAAATTGAGACAAGGTCCTGCTATGTTGCCAGGCTGGCCTTGAACTTGTTGTCCTTCATTTGAGCCTCCTGAGTAGCTAGATTATAGGTGTGTACAACTGTGTTGGGCAAAATAATAGATTATTAATAAAACCAGAACATTAATAAAATGGACAGTCCTCTGTAAAGAGAGAGAAAGGATAAATAAGCACTGAGAACAAAAATATGAACAACAGAATAGAGTTTAAAAACTATAAAAGAATGTTGTGAACAAACTACTGCCAAGGAATTTGAAAGCCCATGAAACGGATAATCTTTTTTTTTTTTTTAAATATTTTTTTAGTTAAAGGTGGACACACGGTATCTTTTTTTTTTTAGAGATTGAGAATTTTTTAATGTTTATTTTATTTTACATTTTGGCCGACACAACTTCTTTGTTTGTATGTGGTGCTGAGGCTCGAACCCGGGCCTTATGCATACCAGGCGAGTGCACTACTGCTTGAGCCACATCCCCAGCCCCAACACACACAGTATCTTTATTGTTATGTGATCTGAGGATGGAACCCAGTGTCTCACACATACTAGGTGAGCAATCTACCTCTGAGCCACAACCCCAGCCCTGAAATAGATAATATGTAAATTATAGCAGACTCAAGAAGAAATAGAAAACCTAAACAAATCAATAATGATTCATTTAAAAAATCTTACATATCCATGCTGCTCATTTTTAAAAATCTTACATATGCATGCTGCTCATATATATATATATATATATTTTAAATAAAATCCATCAGACCCAGTTCTAATACTTTATTTTTTAAGGGATATACATAATTCCTGTTATATCCAAATTATCATAGAAAAGTAGTAAAAAGACGGAAAGCTTCCAAACTGATTTTTGAGAAGCGGGACTAACCTAAGCTTAAAATTTCCAGTACACAAAAGTTTCTGGTTAAACTCATGTATTATCTCAGCTATAAATATTCAAAATAAAGAATAGCAAATGAAATCCAGCATTGATTTAAAAACATAATGACTAGATGTATTAGAAGGGAGGCAAGGATGGCCAGATACTAGGAAGTCTATTAATGTAATCATGTAACTAGAGTAAAGGAGAAAACCCATGTAACAATGTCAATAGATCCAAAAAGCATTTGTTAAATTTCAGTGCTAAACTGCTGAGACTGGCTTTGAATTTGAGATCCTCCTGCCTCAGCCTGTGGGATTACAGGCATGTGCCACTATACCTAGCTGCCATACTTTTTCTCCATAAAGTATGATATTTGCTGTAGATTTTTAGTATATACCCCTTATCATGTTCCAATCCACATTAAGAGTATTTATCTTCAGCAACTTAGGGTTGTCTCAAAATAAAATTTAAAAAATAAAAAGGAGGGCTAAGGTTGTAGCTCAGTGATGGAGCGCTTGCTTTGCATGCATGAAGCACTGGGTTCAATCTTCAGCACCACATAAAAATAAGTAAATAAAAATAAAGGTATTTTGTCCAGCTTAAATAAATAAATAAATAATAAAAAGGAGTGGGATATAGACATTGGTAAAGTGCCCTATGTTCATTCAATCCCTAGTACTCCCTCTTCCCCCAGAAAAAACAAAAACATCAAAATCAAAATTTGAAAGAAGAACCAGTTATTGTTTCTCCTAGACCTCTGTGGTCATGTGGTTCTGCTGATATGAACTGGTTTCTCTTAAATGTGTTGATCTGTCCATCAGCTGGAAGCTGGCTTGTCTAGTGGGGGCCTCAGCTGGGTCAACATAGCCCTCCTTCTTTCTAGTCATCGTTTTTCTTTTTCATTTCTTATGCTATAGTCAAGGACCTGGTGTTATGTTGAGGAATGGTGATCCTCCTGTGCATCCCTGTTTCCTTCCTAATCTCTGAAGGAGGTGTATCTGAAGTTGCCACTTGAAATTTAATGTTTGTTGTGAGCTTTTTAGTATGTATATTAAATTAAGGAGTCTTTTTCTGTTTCTTTGGTTTTGTCCTTTCAGCATTCTTTGACATCTTGTTTTTTCTCCTCTAACCTGTTCACATAGCTGTAAAGTAATGGATTCTCAGGTGTGATCTCTTCTTGCATTCTCAGATGATCAACTCTCCACATTGCTCATCATTTTGCTTTGTTTTGCCTTCAGTTAAAGATCTTTGCTTTGTATATTTATAAGTGAAATGTAACTGTAATTGTATTTTCTTGTTCTTATCTAATTTTAGAGTCAAGATTACACTGGGCTCATCAAATAATCTAGGTGTGGCTTTCTCTTCTCTTTCTTTCTTTCTTTTTTCTTTTCTTTATTTTATTTGGTACTGGGGATCGATCTCATGGGTACTTGACCATTGAGCTACATCCCCAGCCCTGTTTCGTATTTTATTTAGAGACAGGGTCTCAATGAGTTGCTTAGTGCCTCACTTTTGCTGAGGCTGGCTTTGAACTTGTGATTCTCCTGTCTCAGTCTCCCGAGGCACTGGGATTTCACACACAGCTCTCTTCTGTTTTTGGTAACAATTTGCATAAGAACTACTTTTAAAATTTGCTAGGCTGGGCATGGTGTTATATACCTATAAGTCCAGCTATTTGGGAGGCTTTGAGGCAGAATGAAAAGTTTGAGACCTTCCCATCTATGTATGATATATCAAAATGCATAAATGCATTCTACTGTCATGTATAACTAATTAAATAAAAAATTAATAAAAATTGTTTGAGACCAGTCTCAGCAACTTAATGAGATCCTGTTTCAAAATTAAGAGGGCTGGGGCTGTAGCTCAGTGGTGAATGCTCACCTAGTATGTGTGAGACCCTGAGTTTGATCTTGATCTACAAGTGGAATTGTAAAAGAAAAAAAACCAAACTAAACAAAAAACGCCCAAAACAAAACTCAAATCCTTGAAATCAATTGTCATAGTAGTATTTCAAATAGAGACCATTAACTGTTTTAACTCACTTTGCAGAGTGCCATGCATATTTGGGTGCTTAATAAGTGCTATACTTGTTTGTCTAATATTCATTAGAAAAGACTAGTTGGAATAATTAATTTGCAGTCTCCTATGAGTAATTGCTAAGTTTGAAGGAGTGTTTTGCCTAGTATAAATCATAAAGCATATAATCAACAAACTTCCTATAATGCCAGCTACTTGGGAGGCTAAGGCAAGAGGATTGAGAGTTTGAGGTCAACCTAGACAATTTAGCCAGACCCTGTCTCAAGTAGAGAAAAACAATCAAACTCAGGAGAGTTTGGCCCAGGGAAAACTTAAGTCAAATGTAAACAATATGAATAAAAAGTCAAATTATAACTAAGCCATGTAGTTATCAACAATGGTACATACTGGCTACTCATTCATTATAGGATTTGCATGGTTCATACCTTACAATGAATGCTCTTATTGTAGATGATTTATGATAAAATATTTTAGAAGTCATGAAAATCTAAAAAGAGCCATGTTCTTTTCCTAAGAAAATTTTGTCATTGTGAACCTCTATTAAACACTCATGATGCTGATCGTGGTGGTGCATGCCTGTAATCCCAGTGGCTCATTAGGCTGAGACAGGAGGTTCAACTAGCCTCAGTAATTTATCGAGGCCCTAAGCAACTCAGTGAGAAACACTGTCTATAAATAAATTACAAAAAGGGCTGGGGATGTGGCTCAATGGTTTAGGCATCCCTGGGTTCAATCCCCAGTACCAAAAAACAAAAACAAAAAACTCTCATTACTTTTGAGGCTTTTGTTTTGTTTTTTAGTACTGGGGATTTAACTCGGGGGCAATTTACCACTGAGAGTCATCTCCAACCCTTTTTATTTTTTTATTTTGAGACAAGGTCTCAGTTGCTTAGGGCCTTGTTAAATTGCTGAGGCTAGCCTTGAATTTGGGCTCCTACTATGTCAGCCCCCAAAGCCACAGGGATTACAGGTGTACACCACTGTGCCTGGCTTGTGCAGGCTTGTACGCACATAAATATTTGAACTTTCTTAGGTGGGGTTTAAAGATGTAGCATATACCCATTATTGTTTAACTTTATGTATATGCAGTTTTGTATATCATATTGTCTTTAGGACTTTCACTCTTAAGGGGGGGACTCAGTGAATTGAAAAGTCAGACTACTTTTTTTCTTTTGTTAATAATTTAGGACTTCCAGTTTGTAGGCACATAAGTTTAAATATTTGTTGAATACATGAATGTATATGTGACTGTGGGTTCAAGCATCTTTATTTTACTTATATAATGTAAAATATGATATTAAAATAAGCCAGTAAGCCAGAAAAACTGCAAGTAGACAAACCGTAGGATAAAACATGAACTAACTCATCTTTTCTCTTTGTAAATCTGTAGACTGTACTCCTGTTTTCTCATGTAGGCGAACCAAGTTTTTTTACCTAGTGGTCCTAAATCACCTGATTCTAGCTTATTGTCTTTTTTCTCATAGATTAGTTTTCTTGACTTCTCTTTTCTCCTAACATGTGCAACACAAACTTTGAATTTCATTATTTGT